GAAAGACTGCCAGTTGTCTGCAAATAACTGCTCCCTCCCTCCTCTGTGGTGAAAGGACCATAGGGTACTGACCACCTGGGACACACTTGGTTTCTACCCTCATTTGTACTAGGCGTAACCGAACGACTACATTCAGACAAAACAGATTCAAGCATGGGACCAGCAGGTGGCGTGGTAGTTAAGGTACTGGTCTCCCACAGGGCTGACCCCAGTTCAAGTCCCAGACCTGGTGGCTTGCGTTCTCACGTTCTCTCTCTTCCTTTCTCAAATTAAAAACTAATAATAAATAAAATTCACGAAATAATTCTTAAAAAAAAAAGGACTAAAAAACAGATTAAGTATAAGTGCCATTTACAGCTTTGGGAACTATCTCTAAACAGAAGAAATATGCCTTTTTTTCTTTCCTCCTATGAGTTATAATATATTGGGTCGTCGGAAAAGTCATGACGTATTTTTCCATACAAAACTGCATCATGACTTTTCCAACAACCCAATAGATGTGGTTGGGCCACATAATACTTTTTTTTTTTTTTTTTTTTTTTTTAGAGAGAGAGTTTTGTTTTAAGCTGCAGCGAAAAGAGAGACAGAAAGCGAGAAATCATCCCCTGGGGGGATGGCCATGCCTCAATTCCTTCTCCATTCTCCTCTCGGGATATTGGGCGCACACACACAAACACACACACACACACACACACACACACACGCCTGGCATGAGTTTTAAGTCCCGATGTCCAGGCCTCGAACCACGGTCAAATATGTGGGAGTTCAGAGGCATAACCACACACCATCTGCTGGTCCCACAAGATACCACGTCGAATCACGAGAAAGAAACCATGTGCTGAAGACGACGGGGCGCGAGGAACCCAGGCTCCCGGTACCTCGCGGCGGCGTATACGCCCCAGACTAGTTATCCCTGGGCTTTCAATGCGAGGGCAGCTTTTCCGTCTTACTCAGGGCACGATGATGTGGGGTTCCTTGTCACAGGCAGCCAAGCTAATCCTAACTGGTCACCTAGAATACATCCAGGAGGGAATGACATACAAGAGCCAGTGGTCCGGGAAGGGCTCCCTGTGTGGGAGCTCACTGCCATCATGTGCCACCCAAAATGAGGACCTACAGGGCCACTCCTTCCTGCAGCAGAAAAGGACGCTGTCGGACAGCTGGCATTTCGTTCTGCACTCAAAGAAATCACCTGGCACAACTCTTTGTCTTTTGAAAACAGGACCCATCATGAGGTCAGCTCTCCCACACGATTTCCTCACCCGCGTCACTTCAGCAGTGGCTGCTGGCGGTCTATTCTGATGACTACCACACTGTCCATATATCGGACCTTCGTGAGCTCAGAGCAGAGTGATAATGCTGCCTAAGCCTAAAAGTGCTTCAAAGTCAGTCTAGAGGCAGGCTCCAGTCTCAGGGACAATCGTCCAAAGACTGCATCTCCCCGGGGGTGACCCTCCAGCACTGTCGCTTCTGAACCCGGACGCAGCTGGCTTACTGCAGAGGACCCACTTTTACGGGACCATTTGACTTCAGCAGACAAACGAGTGGCTTGAAGGCCAGGCTAGCTTTAGACAACGTCTTTATCAACTCAGAGGGGAGCCGCTAGATCTCTGTTTTCGACTGTTTCACAACCAGCGTGACACAGCGCACGAAGCCGGTGCGGGTACTCATCCGTAAAAGCAGGAGAGAATAGACCAGCGACAGGATAAGAGGGAGACCATTTGACGAGCTGATTCTAAAGCTCAGCTGCATGAACCCGGAGGGCGGCTAAGTGAGTAAGCCAGTTACAGAAGGAAACGTACTGCACGAGTCCACTCGAGCCATGCATCCCTTAGCTCAGAAACATGCTCTGAGAATGCCTCGTTGGGCAATTCCGGTGTGCAAACATCACAGCATGTGCTTACACACACCTCGATGCCATGGCTACACGCGCAGGCTACATGGCACAGCGCCCATGTTCCTACAGGACAAACATCATACACGTGGTCCGCCAACTGACCAAAACGGCACCTTGTGGCACATAACCGTGTATGACATATCTAAAATAGCCAAACTCACAGCGACAGAGTAGAATGGTGGCTGCCAGGGGCTGCAGTGAAGGGGAAATGGGAACCGCTTTATGGTGCATATGAAGTTTTAGTTGTGCAAATTCCAGACCTGCAGAATTAACGCGGTGTCTAAACATGACCACACTGTATTGTACACGTCAAAAGACAACCCGCTGCATATTCCTAGATCTAGGAGGTGCTCCTGTGGAGGTGAAACTAAAGGCAGCCGTGCCCAGACCAGCCCGTAAGAAGAGCGGAGAGGCCCCCTCTTTGTTACGTCAGTGTTGGGTGGGTCAGCAGTGATTTCACTGGGGGGAACGAGCAACCAAACACCAGTGTCAGAAAGCTGCCATATTTTTCACAGAAAGGTGCAGTAGCTGATGGGACTGAGGGGCTGAGTTAGCACCGGGATCAGAGGCTGCAGAAAGTCAAGTTTGGTACACGATAAAAGTGGCCGCTGACAAGATCATTCATATCCCATCAGAACTGCATCCGCTGAGGATTACTTTTAACTGGCCTAATATGGTGGCCAAGATTTTCCGCCAGTATTTAGACTTCAAATGCAGACTAAGGTTAATGCCTTCATAGGCTCAACCTTTAATACTATTTTAGAAAATTACAACTGCAAGATGTAACTCAAAGACCCAATCCATCAGTTGAACTACTCCCCTAATAAATAATACAACAGAATTAAGCTGCCTCAAAAATTGACCTACTAATGAATGGGGAGGGGGATAGAGATGAAAAAGTCTTCTAGGAAAAGCTTTCTTGGGCCAGCCTGTGATGGTTAGGGTGGCTGGATCCCACACGGCTGACAGCATGGTGGCAACTCTGGACCTGGTGGCTTGAAAAAACATGCCAGGCATGTGTGCAAGCAGGCCCAAATCTTAAAAGGACGAGAAATGGAGGAGAAAGAACTATAGCATGACTACCCCCTATGGGAGGGTCGTACCTTTTCTCTTTCTCTCTTTCTCTCCTCTATCTCTCAGGCGAGCCCCCATGTCCTCTGGGGGGAAAAATTAAAATAAGAAAACAAAAAAGCTTTCTTTTCTTTTGGAGAGGTTTTCGCTATAGGGCGCGTGTGCTCGCCAGACAGACAGAGAGAGATAGAGAGACAGAAAGCGAGAAATCACCCCCCAGGGGGGATGGCCACGCCGCAATCCCTTCTCCTCCATTCTCCTCTCGGGATCTTGGGCACGCACGCACACGCGCCCGGTGTGAGTTTTAAGCCACCAGGTCCGGGACACGAACCGCGGTCGACTACGTGGAGTCCAGCGACATAGCCGTTACGCTAACTGCTGGTTCCCAGCTTTCTTAACATGTTTTTGGAAGCTAAACTATAACTAGTCTTGCTTGCTACTAGGACCACCTGACGGAGTGTGAAGAGTGACCTTGCATCCTGGCTGTGCCTCTTATGCAGAATAAGGGATGCTCTTAGGGTGTCTTAACTTTCTGAGACAGTCTCATTTATGTCCAGAACACTATCCCTCTGAGCCCCATCAGAAAACCTGAATAAGATGGACCAAGTATGACAATTCTTTCTTTTTTTTTTTTTTTTTGAAGAGATTTTGCTATAGGGCACATGCGCTAGTCAGAGAGACAGAAAGTGAGAAATCACATCCCCCTCCTAACGGGGATGGCCATTTCACAATCCCTTCCCCTCTCAGGATTTTGGGCACGTACACACATGTGCCTGACGTGAGGTTTAAGTCACAGGGTCTGGGCCTCAAACCACAGTCAACTACGTGGGAGTCCAGCAATGTAACCATTACGCCATCTGCTAGTTCCAACCAAGTGTGACAATTCTTATGCCCCCCTCTCCAAGGGGCTTCACTCTTGCCCACTTCTCATCTTCCTCTCTACACCCTCCAAAACGGCTTCTTCCAAAAAGCACAATAACCCACTGCCCTCAAAGTCCAAAGAAAAGGAGTTTAGTTTCTGACCTGCCACTAGTAAAGAATCTCATGACCCCTCATCTGTGAAAGGAGGGATCAGTTGATATAGTTTTTCTTTTAATAATTATTTTATTTAACTTTATTTATTTATTTTAATTTGACCAGAGATGGACAGAGTGAGTGAGAGAGAGAGAGAGATAAAGTGAGAAAGCAGGCCGCCAGGTCTGGGACTCAAACCCTGGTCGGCCATGTGGGAGTCCAGCACCCTTAACCACCATGCCACCTGCCGGCCCCTGAAATGCTTTCCTAAGGTCTTCTTGGATGTTCTTATTCCTCAGCAAGCTTTTCCCTACTCAGATAAGGGAGCAGAGCATTTTCCTGTGAACCTCTAAGCACAAGTGACTGAGGAAAGCAAAAGGAGAAGCAGGATCCTCAACTCCCTTTAAGGCTCTCTGGCTGGAGGAGGAGGCTGGGACCGTAAGCAAACCAACTGCTACCATGAAACTAATCCCTCCTGCAAGTAACGAGGTTCCAGAAGAGGAAGGGAGGATGAAGCGGAGAGAAATCAAAGTCCAGCAGCTGTCCTGGGCCCTCCCTTCACCTCCAAAACGAGCCGGACTCCGGTGCCACCACCTTCTGTCCCGTACATGTCCACATCCTGCCCCGAAGAGACAGCCTGAGTGCTGACGTGTGAGGGCCTGACGTCCAATCTAAAGTTCCAGCTTTCCTGGATGAGAGGCTCAGTTTGAGAGGAGTTCAAAATAATCCCCAAATAACCTCAAACAAACCATCAAAGCCTCTGTTTACAGCAGAACATAAGCATATTAATTTGGTCCTTCTGTGACAAAGCAGGCCTTTTTAGGAGAGATCTGTGACCATCTCAAAGGATAAATTCCGGGCTGCTTCTGCTGTCGAAACGGGTTTGGCTGTGTATGCCAAAGGCACTCTCTCTTTTTCAGCAAGACATACTAATGGCGGGTCACTTGGAAAAACAAACAAACAGATGGCGGATAAGAAGGGGCGATAGCTTGTTCAACTTGGGACTCACGCATCTTACCCACATATTCTGAGAGGAAGACGACAAAGAACGGAGTGACCAGGTCATTAATTCCCTGGACGTACCCACTGGCAGGGTGTCGGATGGCCCAAATAAACAGAATTCTTTCAAAGATCTGGGAAAACGAGAAAGAAAGACGACATGAGTGTTAAACCATGGGGACACACTCCCTCCCTCCCTTGTTTACCTGTGTCACAATTTATCTCGAGGTGGGCATAGAAGCTTTGGAAAGTGTGAAATTACCATGGAACCAAGGGAGTCTATAAATGCAAACAGTTTCTAACACACTGGTTGTTTTCAAATGGGGGTGGCTACTTCTTGCCCTTTGTTATCTTTTCGGTATCAGGTCACTGTGGTATAAAACTGAAAAGAGAGATGACAGTGACACAATGACTTAAAGGTTTGCCACAGATGTCATTCATTCAAGCCATGCCATTATTACTTGTAGATAATGCTTCTGCTACTTCTAAGAGGAAGCTACCAGAACATCCTAGTTCTGAAACCTTTTCTCAACCTCCTGGTCATTACAGGATTTGAAGAGGAAATCCCTCCTCTACCACCCTCCCTCTCTCCCTGCTGAGAAGGAAGATCTAGATTTAGTCCTCCGTCTGACTAAGGGCAGTGACAGACTGTACGTACAGGAAGTCACTTCCTACATCAGGATACAACTCAGACATTGTCTAAGGACAGAAAGTCAAACAGACCAAATCCTACAACTCCTCCACCTGGAAATCTGAGGAATCGGCCCAGACGCCACGGGAAAGCCTGTGGGATAAAGCACAGGGCTAGGCTGGGGCAAAGGAGAGCTCTTTTTTTTTTTTTCTTTCATTTATTTATTTTTTACATTTTCCCACAAACATTTACTTTGCATAGCAAAAAATTTTAGCTCATACTCCATAATTCTTGACAGTTTACAAACAATTTTCAAAATACTGAATTTTAAAGATAATGTTCAAAATATGTCTTATAATTTTGTGTAATTTTATAACTCTGTAACAACAGAAGCAGTATGGTTTCAAATACATACATACATACATATATATATATATATATATTTTTTTTTTTTTTTAAGAGTGGAGACACTCGGTATATATTAAGTGGGGACATACAATGACTCCCCTTCATAGCATGGCTTGCTTCACTCAGCAGTAAGTCTTCCATATTTATCCACTTCCTTTCAAAAGCCAGGGTTTTGTTTTTTATGGATGAATAGTATTCCATTGAGTATATGCAAAGGAGAGCTCTTTATGGTCCTGTTCCAGCGTTCTGCCATCCCACTCGGCTACAGTCTCCTGCTTCCATTAGGCCCCAAGTGTCCCTTCCCACCTTCTCTCAACCCGATGATACCCGCTACTTAACTTTCTGGTGGCCAGACTCCTGGGCCTGACACACTCTTGAGAACGGCTCTGCCTGGGCTGCTTCAGGCCTCAGGACACCACGCCAGAGGGGTGGCAGGAGGGGCAGTGGGTACAGGGGGACAGAAACGAAGGGCTCTGCACGAGGACTCTGCGGAGCCCAGACCCCAGCCCTGCAGTCAGAGCAAGGAGGTCCTCCCAGGCAGGTGCAAGGCAGAAAGCCTCCCGGGGAGACCAACAAACGGCAATCTCACAAGGTTCGGGAGACGGTTATCTAGAGCAGAAAACGAGTGCAGCACCTAGAGACACAGCAGAGGAGGTTTTCCAGCCGCCGTGTCACAGACCGCCGAGTCGCCTTCCAGCTGGCGGAGGGCTGAGAAACCGCTCCACTGTCAACACTCCTGCCTCGTGGGCAGTGAAATCAAAGCACAGCCCACCAGTGAGCTGGCCTTACCCACTTGCTCTCTGTGGGTGAGGGGGAGGGTGTGACATCCTTCCGTGTGTCTACCGTTACTCAGGGCCTTCTGCCTCTCACACTCCTTTCTGTTGCTAAATCACCCCTTGCCCTCTCTTGAAAATGGAGTCCCCCCCAGGACCAGCAGTTAGTGTAAAGGCTATGTTGCTGAACTCCCATGAAGTCGACCGTGGTTCAAGTCTTGGACCCGGTGGCTTAAACTCACGCCAGGCGCGTGTGCGTGCGTGCCCAAGATCCCGAGAGGAGAATGGAGGAGAAGGGATTGCGGTGTGGCCATCCCCCCTGGGGAGTGATTTCTTACTTTCTGTCTCTATGTCTCTCTCTGTCTTTCTGGTGAGCGCATGCACGCTATAGCAAAAATCTCTCAAAAGAAAATGTAGTCCCGGGACCAGCAGTTAGCGTAATGGCTATGTCGCTGGACTCCCACGTAGTCGACCGCGGTTCGTGTCTCGGACCCGGCGGCTTAAACTCACGCCGGGCGCGTGTGCGTCCGTGCCCAGGATCCCAAGAGGAGAATGGAGGAGAAGGGATTGCGGCGTGGCCATCCCCCCTGGGGGGTGATTTCTTGCTTTCTATCTCTCTGTCTCTCTCTGTCTGTCTGGCGAGCGCACGCGCCCTATAGCGAAAACCTCTCCAAAAAAAAAAAAATGTAGTCCCCTGCTAGACCCATTTTTGTTCAAGAAAAGCTCAAGACCTCCCTGTCCCATTCAGTTTCTCTGCACTTCTCATGGCCTGTGTCTACCTGGACCCACTGTTAAGAAGCTTCTCCAGATCATTCTCTGAAGGACTGACGAGGCTTCTCTGCACCGGGGCCTCCAGTGAACACACAGATCTTTGATGACTGGCTTTAACGACGGTCAGGTGTATGGAAGTGAGCTGTCTGGCATCAGGGAATCTTCAATAACCCCTCTCCTAGTGAGGACTGGACAGGGCAGACACTCACTACACAAGAGGAAATGCCAAGGAGATGAGAATGGGAGAATCATCCAGTCTGGGTCTCTGGGGAGACTGTGGCAACCTCAGTATAGAAAAAGTCTAGAATACTCCCCTATAGAGAGGAGTGGACAGGACAATCCGTGAAGGTTTTCCTATACCTCTGCTGCTAGTGTTGGTAATTCTGATTCAATACAGTCAGTCCTCGAGCATGTTTCAGGTTGGCAAAGCGAGCCTCTCAACAGCCAGTGCTCCTTAGTCCTCTGCTCCTTGGGTTAACATTTTCACTCTTCTTAAGATGCCATCTAGCAGGGCCAGCAGGCGACACTGTGGGTAAGGGTGCTGGACTCCCACATGGCCACCCGCAGTTTGAGTCCTGGACCTGGTGGCTTGCTTTCCTCCCTTCACCCCCTGTCCCATCTCTCACTCTGTCCCTCTCTGGTATGTATGTATGTATGAATGAATGAATAAAGAAAGAAAGTTAAATAAAATAATTCTTTTTGGAGAGGTTTTTGCTATAGGGTGTGTGTGCTTGCCAGACAGACAGAGACATAGAGACAGAAAGCGAGAAATCACCCCCCAGGGGAGATGGCCACGCCGCAATCCCTTCTCCTCTTGGGATCTTGGTCACGCACGCACTTGCGCCTGGCGTGAGTTTAAGCCACAGGGTCCGGGACTCAGAACATGGTCAACTACATGGGAGTTCAGTAACATAGCTATTATGCTAACTGCTGGTCCTCTAATAAAATAATTCTTAAAAAAAAGAAGACTACCTAGCTATTAGGTCATCAGAAAAGTCATGATGTATTTTTCTATGTTTTTTTTTTAAACACAAAAATGCATCATGACTTTCCTGATGACCCAACAGCTAAAAACGTAATTAAAGGGCCGGCAGATGGTATAGTGGTTAAGGGTCCTGGACTCCAACATGGTTGACCGCAGTTCAAGTCCTGGCCCTGGTGGCTTGCTTTCTCAATTTCCCTTTC